ATTGGCAAAGAAAGATTAAATATTTTTCAAAATATTTCAGAGTCTCACAAAAGCCACCATTCTGGAAGAGCTCTGAGGTACTGGATGTTAACATGTGTGCTGTCAAAAATATTCTGTATTCACATATACATGAGAGAACATTTGAGATAAACATGGATAAATATGTTTCTTTGGGGGAAAAGGGTATTATCTGTTAATATGCAGGGCTTATATCCAGAAAAATATATACTATACAGAATTTTTACCAAACTATTTCTATCGTGATAAATTTAATAACCTACATTTTAACATCTTGTGAAACATTGCTTAAATAAACATCAGTTTCAGAAATGTTTTGACAAAATGTGTTTACTTAGCCACTCCAGAACCATAAGAGGATATACCTTCTCGCTTGTATAAATTTAATTGACAGTGGAATCATTGAGCACCTATGGATAAACAACCCTGCAGGATGCTGAAGAATGTATGAAACTGAATGAAATTATGACTACTTATTAGAAGTTTAAAATCAAAAGACAAAAATATTTAGAATGCAGTGCAATGGAAATGATCCAATAAAGCAAAATAGGTGGAAATTGTGAGTCACATTTGAGTATATCATAGGAAGTATCTTTCCAAGAGTCAAAAGCATGAAATAAGAGAATCCTGTTAATGCCATCTTTGGTACTTTTCAACCAAAGATTGGTCAAATGAATATATTTACATGTGCTGGTTTTATTTCTGCCAGTTTTCATTTCATACAATACCTGTATGTGTTTGCCTCAACTCATTTGCCTCAAGTCAAAATATATTGAGCTCATTCACTTCTCTCAGCTTCGTAACTTTACAGTTTTTTCATCTTGATACAATGGTATTGCTTATTTAGTTTTAAAATAAAGAAGGAAAGAGAATTGGCCAAATTTTTTACAATAGCTAATTTTTTTTAATTAACTCACTGTGAAAAGATGTAGTAGTAGCCCAACAGGATATTTTTTGATATTTCAGTCTCAAATTTAATATAAGAAGAATAATTTTTAGCATTTTTTCATGATAATTCAAAATTTTAAAACCAATATTTAAATGAAAACCAAGATCAAAACAGAGATGACTCTGTTCTATGATTTTTAGTTAAGTGCTTACAGAAGTCTCATAATATTATACAACAAAATGCAAATACTCCATCCAATTCTACATTTTGTTTCTATGCCTGGAGGTGGTGTGGGGGGGGTTACTCTGCACAGATGTGATACATAATGAATTTAAACAGAAATAAACTTTACCAAAAGACTTATTTAAAACGGTGCTTACTTGGTTTTATCAACCCTCACCATAGGAATTTGATTCTACAAGCCAGATAATAGAGTCCACCAGCCTGCTATATAGGAGCCTTTATAGGTAATTCTCTTCCATTACTAGAAATTTAACTGAGATTTTAGCAATATACCCAAATCACTTGTTCAGAAAGATTAAACCTAATGCTTTCTTGAGAATAATATAGAGTTCTAATTCCTAGTAGGGTTGGATATAAATCTGTAAATTCAGGAACTCAAGAAATACCCCTCCTCCCTTGTTTCTGTATCTAGAAAGCCCCTATCTTAGGGGAGTGGGAGAAAACTGAATCTTGGTTATTCTTCCTCCTGTCTCCTAAGTTCCAGGACAATCAGGGCATGAAAGCTGAGGAGATCTTTGTCGTTGGCCACCAATTTCCTATTATAGATACTCTTTACACTGTTCCTTGAAGGCCAGAAGCTCTTGAGGCAAGAAAATCTGAGCCTTGGCTTAGAACTAAGCTGAATTGTTGTGAAGACACAATTAGATCTTGTATTTTTAAAATTCAGTATGAAGGAAAGGCTGATTCATTCAGACCCTTCAAGGCCTTATGTCCACTATAATTACGTGAGTCCACTGCCCTACACCCTGACATCCTGTCTCTTCCACCCACTCTGTGGTTTAGAGGATCATAAACCAACCACACAGCATCACAGTGCAAAATGCACAATATGCATAATTTCAGTATTAATTTCTATTTGAACACCATGAAGTGTTCAGAAGGAACAAAGGATTTTCTTAGGCATTTTTAATACTTTTGAAAGGAGGCTGATGTCTGGAAATACTGAGTTTATTAGCCCATTACAAAAGGCTTTCTGTTGCATGAATTTGCTGTCAAAGCCCTAGGTGCATTTTCAAAACCACTGACAACACATTATAAAAAATGAAACAATGCTAAAATATTGACAAACTGGCCTCAAGCTTTTTATTTGCATATGAGAATAATTTTATATTTTCACTTTGAAAGTCTTTAGCTCTAAACTGGAAATATACAATTGAGCTCATGCTGTCTTCAAAAACAGGTACCCTCTACCATTATTACAGAGTTTATAAAAATAGTAAAATATATATTTGTTTCACTTAACTTTTTGGTCCAATAATATCACATCTAAAAGGTTCAGAAAGCCCTAATCTTGCTGTGACTTATTGAAAATCATGCAAGAGTCTCTTTATAATTCACTTTCAAGTCTGTCCTCTATTCAGAACCCTGAATTATACCCCATTCAAGTCAAATTTTAAGTCGTCCTTGGGACTTCGGATGATTTTCTCATACTCAGTAATCCACCCGTCACATGTGCTTTCCCCCCACTGTATGTGTGTGTGTATATATATATATATATATATATACACTAGCTCACAGTCCTACTGAAACCCCCTGCTCACCAAAGCTTAGGCGGGGGATTTAGCTCAGTGGTTTCGCCGCCTGCTGCGCAAGCGCAAGGACCCAATTCGATCCCCGGTACCAAAACAAACAAACCAACAAACAAACAAGCAAAAAACCCCCAAAGCTTACTGCTTCTCGCTTGAATATTTGTCAACATATAATTTATCATTTTCTTATTTCTCTTAAAATCATTACTTATTAATCATTTAAAATAAAATTTATAAAATATGTAGTTATAAAGAATAATGTAAACCCATGTTCCCTCTACCCATTTTAAGGAATACTATTTCATGATTCAATTTTTAAGTCTCTTAGAATCCTCCCAAGTCCTACACCTTATCTACCCTTTAAGAGGTAATCCTCACATGAATTGATTATCTAATCTTCTTTAATTTGATTACATGTTTTATTCCTACAGTGTTTACATTGTGTTTAATTTTGCAGTTTGATTTTCATAAAAAGGGAACTACTATCGGTGGTTTTCCATGACATCATATTTGTTTAGTGTTATGTTCTTAAGATTCATCAGTGTGTTAGTGGTGTTTCTTTAGGCTCAAATTCTCTTATCTCTTTCTCTCTCTCTGCCTGTCAAGATACATGTGTAATATTTTTGTTTCCACTGCACAACAATGAACACTTTGCTACATATCTGATGAAAAACATATGCAATGATTTTATTAGATGCACATACTTCCTACATTTCTTAAATTTTTTGTTTTGATTTACTTTTTTTTTTAGACAAAGTCTCACTGTGTAGTTTAATCTGGCCTTGAATGCAGCAATCTTCCTGCCTTGACCTCCTGAGTGCTGGTAGATCCTACATCTATTAAAAACTGCCAAATGATTTCCCGGAGTAGTCTTAATCTACACTTACACCAATAACATATACACATTCCAATTGTTCCAAAATCTCATCAACAGTTTATATTGTAAAACTTCATAAATTACTGTAAATTGAATAGGTTCCAATTGAATCTCATACTCTTTTAATTTGTGTTTCCCTCACTAATTATGTTGAGCTTATGTTTACCTACCATTATGATTCCTCTCTTTAAAGCTAATTTACTAGTTTTTGACCTAATTTTCCATTTAGTGTTTTGGCATTTAGTGTTTAGTGTTTAAGATTATTTTTCCATACTCTGACCTCATAAAATTTTTATATTTTTGCCTTGCACATTTAGGCATTAGCAATTGATTTTTAAGATATAATGTAAGATAGAGGTCCAATTTCATACTTGTCCTTTTGAGTAACCAGTTGTTATAATATTAAAAAGACTATCCTTCACTGTTCTAATGTTTTTAAGTTTTATACATTCATTTAAAATAAAAGTTGGTCAATTTTCTGTATATGATGCATATTTAGATATCTTCTTATCTATCTCAGAAATTTAATCATATTTTCAGCTTGTGAAGGCAAAGGATATGCTCCCATATTTTTGTGACCACCCCAGAATCCCATAGCCTCACATTCAGTTTGCTTGTTACAGTTTGCTATTCACTAAGTAAACATGGCCTGTTTTATGATTACATCTGTAAGGCTTCCTTTTCTATATAGGTGGAAATTATATCTTGGGATTCCCCTTATAAACAAAGTTCTAGTCCATATAAATGTTCACACATGTTGATAAATTTTTGGCCAAAAATGCAAATCAGTAGATTATCTCATTCTTTGTGTTTTTATTAAGTATCTGGATTCCCCTTACCTCATTCAACAATTTTTTATAGTACTTGTCACTTTCTTATTTATTATGTCTGTTTCTTACTATTTCCTTTCAATAATGTATAAGCTCCACAACAGCTGAGATAAAATTTATTTTCTTTTCAGTTAGTATATATTTGTAGTTCATAATGATTACATTAATTGCAGGGTATAGGTACATGTATAAAACATATCTTGGGCTGGGGATTTTGCTCAGCGGTTCCAGTGCCTGGCTTGCAAGCCCAACGTCCTGAGTTCGATCCCTGGTACCAATATATATATATATATATACATATATATATATCTTAATTCTTTTTATTCTCCTTCCTCTGTCTTGCCTCCTCCCCATCTCAAGATCTTGTTCCTATTTACCAAAGATCTATCTTTCTATTTCCTATTGTCTATCTTTTCTTTTGCCCTTTCAAGTCTGATTTTTGTATGACCTATCCCAGTGTCTGATATAAAGTAGGTGCTCGATAAGCACATGTCAAATGAATGAATGGCATTCAGTATTTTCAAAACAATGACAAGAAGAAGAAAGCTGGAAGATTTAATTTTCACAAAAGATTTAATTTTTTAAATCAATGCTATTTTCTTTTATGCTTTCAGATATCAATATGGCAGGAGAACCCAAACCATACAGGCCAAAACCTGGAAACAAGAGGCCCCTTTCTGCACTTTACAGGTAAGAAAACAAGCACTGTTTTATGACATGCAGTAGTGAAATTTCTTATAATTTATAAGGTAGTATGATACGAAAAACATCACCTATTTTTTGAATAACAATCTTTATTGGCATAAAGTATGAGAAAATGTTGTCAGTCAACATAGTATAGAGATACCGTGTAACACTGGTAGGAATCTCAGATGCCTAACATTCTCATGTCTATTTATGTAACCATTCTACGAAATAATTCTCTAATGAAAATCTCTAGTGATTCTACCTGACAGATAGAAAGAGCAATGTTGTTGACTATCAAGTGCAAGCCATGTAGTGTAGGTGTTTTACATATGTTGTTTAATTTTCATAAAAATCCTATGACCTGAGATTTAGTGCTTTAATGTTTTTATCAAAGTCTCATCACTGGTTAGTGGTAGTACTAGTACTCAAACCTGTGCCGTATCCCAATTCTTTCCACTCATTCACTCACCATCTTTTATTACAAAGTACATGTTTCTGTTAATACCTAGTTCTCCAAAATGATGAATATGGTTATGCGCTCCTTCAGACAGAAATATCCAATTCCTTTAGCCATTCCTAAAGTACTCAGTTTTGCATCGATTTAATAATGTCTTTTGGCCTCCACATGCTTCTGTTTACCAGAGTCCTTACCTATACTCAGAATTCCAGGTGGATAGAGTGGATTAGATTTAGCCCCTTTGTTGTTCTATATATACTTCTATCAAGTTAAATAAAATTGAGTTGATCTGGGGAAAAAGTGCACTGATACAACTTTCAATTCTTTAAAAACAGCCACACTGGGGAAAAAATCATATTCTGCTGTTAAACAGTATGTCCCCCTCATGTACTTTTGCCACTATTTTAAACTGTAAGTGCTGACTTTGCATCTGTCCCTGTAAAATTCCCTTTTGTTTGATTTAGCCAATTGTTCCAGGCTATTGAGATCGCCTATCATCCAATTTATTGGTTGCTCTCAGAGATACCTATCATCATTCCATCTGTAACCACAGCCAAAGAGCTAACATAAGTGCTAAGCAAGTCTTTCTAGTTTACTGATAGTATTTGAATAAAAGAGAATTAAGTTATACTCATATAATTTTAAAGTGGATTTTGTTTTGATAAAGTATAGTAAGGAGAGTGCTCATGAGAAGGATCTGAGCTATTTCCTTGTCTTTGTTCTCTGAATATTAGCAGAGCTCCTTTTCTGCCCTGCAGAGCCTCATATCCCAACAATAAAATAATAGTCAGAACTCCATCACTTCTAAAGTCCTATTCATGCCTACTATCCCAGGGGTCCTTAGTATGTGGCCATTAGACATTTTTAAAGGTACAGTATACTGAAAAGATATAGCTACATTTGTCCCTTTACTTTGGTTGTTTAAATTTATTTAATCCTAAAAATATATTTTCTATAAAAATGGAAAAAAACCCAGGAAATAACAAATGTTGATAACTAGATAAAGGACAACGTTTATAAAACTGAGCACAGCAAATTATTTTTTGATCAGATTCATTTTTAAATCTACACATAGAGCTATAGCTAATACAAAACATTTGGAAGTCATATATTCAATTATTAACAAAACAAGCTGGCAGTGCTTGTATTTGTTGTCGCTTTGTCTTGTTTTTCCTCTCATCAAAGAATTACCGGTATCTCTACAATAATGCTAATTTTCATATTTCCCCTGTTGTGGGATTGTTTTGGCTCCCTTATGAGAATGAGAGCTCATGACAAGAAGCAAATGTCTTTTTAACTGTTATCTCTCTTTTACTAAGTTATGTCGAATTATAAATTCAAAAGAATTAGAAGCAGAATTTCATTTAAACATGCTACATTGTATACAAATCACATTACTGGGGAATTGTTTATCCTATTTTCTTCTGTTTACATAAATGAAAGCTGAAATACACTGAAACTGGAAAACAGTTATCAAAGGGAATAAAGGATTGCGTGTGCAGCTGAGAAAGTCCTTTTATACACACTTTCTTATTCTTAAATAACTTAATACTTCTAATATTTTATGTTCATATGGGAAACTGCATTTTATAGACATTAATCATCCTCATCATAAAACTCCACAGGACTGTAATTATAAACAAGACACCCAAGTTTTCAATACAATAAACTGCTTGCTCAAAGGAAGATAACAAGATTAGAAACCAAAGCAGACTTGAAGTCTGATGATCTTGACATTAGATCATAGCTCTCTACATTAACTCACCTTCTACTATTTAAACAATGCAGATTACAAGAAACAGCTTTTTCTAGTTTTCAAAACCAATAATTATATTTCTGTATATGAATACTTTGCCAGCAAGCGGGAAAGACTATATATTAGTCACTTCATAAGAACAAGAGAATACCTATTTGTTTGACTCCAAGGCACGGATTTTTGAGCTTCAAGTTGTTTATCTAACATAATAGCTGTGTACTTTTTTGACTGTATAAAATTACATAATTGAAGTAAACTCAACTAGAGCAATGTATAGAATAAGGTAATACCTTGGAAAGGGAATTTTGATTTTCTAGTCTTTGCAATTTTGGATCTCTTTCTTTATCTTAAAAGTAAAAGCTGGAATAGTTCCATTTGTTCATTCATTCAGAGAAGATATATTTAATGTGTCTACTATGGTCAAGGTCAGTGGTTGCTGCTTTTCTAGGCAATTGGTACAGAAAATGTGAAATTGCAGGGAAAGGAAAAAGCACAATAAAATAAAATTAATTTGTTTATATAGTTAAGGGTAACCTCTAGTTTACCCTACTGCCCTAAACTGCTTTATCTCTGTAGACATACTCTGTTGGGGCCTGTAACTGATCTGCAGGCAGGCCTTCTTCACCACTTCATCTCCATTATCAATCACAAGATGCTATTCACATGGAATTTCCACTGAAGCCTAATTTTGTTTTGTTTCTTTTACCAGGATTTTTTAATTTAGTGAACCTTCATTAAGTGCTTACTATGTGCTTAACTAACATAAATACACAAAAGATGCAAAATAAAACACAGTGAGGTTTAAAAAATCCTTAGTCTTCCGCATGAGTTATATGCATAAATAAATAAGGAAAACCAGGGAGAGGTGTGCATACACTTCCATATTAAAATAATGGGAGAGTTACTAATTCCTCCCAAGGGAAAGAAAGTGAAAAATCTTGAAAAGCTAAATGTAGAAAATGATACTTGAGCCAACTTTTAATCAAACAGGCATTCACTCTGCAGACAAAGAGGAAGAAGAGAATGCTGAGCAGAGTAAACAAGCTCAGGGGCAGAAGCATGGGGATAAAGAAGAGCATCTCATGGTGAGAGCTAGGATACTTTACTTGGTAGAAAATGGGTAATGGGAACTTTACAGAAGTCCAGCCTATGAATACATCAGATCAAGGGATTTGGCTCTCACTAGGCAGACAGCAAGGAATTATTTGAATGTGGTGACTAATTAGAAATGAGGTTTGGGGGAGAATGAGAGTTAGAGATATCCAAGGTTTCTACCTTAGGGAACTTGGGAAAGACCACATGATTCAGACAGAAGAAATAGAGGACATAATAGGCAGTGCTGGGCTCAGGTGTGAAGTTCAGAGAAGGAAGCCAAAATAAATTATTTCAGTTGTAGACATGAATTCATCCAGACAGACAATTCATTAAAATAATACTTGCAATAAAAAAATTTCCCATTAGAGTCTTTTTATAAATGAAACATAATTAATCATTTGTGAACATTTCATAAATATTGGACCCAGTCCTAATGGTGAATAGCTTATCTGTTGTCTAGGGGAAATATTGTAACTTTTAATAAATTGTTCCTTCAAATGTGCTATGTACATTACAAAGTATCTATGGTACTCTAAAATAATAATTCACCCACAGGATGTAAGTTTTCCAACATAACAAGTTCCAAATAATGCTAAATAATTGCTAAATGAGAGTAATTGTAAGATGGTATTGCTTCTGCTCGTAATCAAACCTTCTCTCTGGTTTGAGTTACGCCAACAAAGGATCAGAGAACAAAGGCACTATTTGTTAGAGCTAAATAAATACAGATTTTCCTTCATCTATAGACACCCCTCCCAGTTCTAAAGAACACAGCTAAGCAAGACATGAAATATTTAAGTTTTATTCCATTCATTTCATAGAGATTATCAGCTACCATTCCCAAATATGGCTTTGTGATTAATATAGACATACTTTTTATAGCAACCTTTCTGCCCCACAGAGATGACCATGAGAATCAAGGAAATTCAAGACTCCTTAATTGCCAAGAGATAACATACAGCTACCACCATCAGCATTTTAAGATCATTATGATTGGTAGTGGTAGCCATAGATGTGGGGATAAGAACTTTATGGACAAAGCACTAGCCACATAAAGTGACTCTCCAACAAAATATCTCTGCTGATTTATTTTCTCTTCTGTCTGCATGAGTTCTGTTTTTGTCCTTCATAATGGCCTTGGCACATCATATGAAAAGGGAACCTTCGAGTCACTCAAATGTCTGCTAGAACCTTGGCAATAGAAATGAAAGTCATTGGCACTAATTTCAGCTAATGGTAAATTGCAAAAATCAATATGGAGGAAAAACATGTCCATTTTGTTGACTTGGTCAGTTTGCTGAGAAATGTTTACCAGTTAGCTATTGATCACTTTATTTATTTATTTCTGTCTCTTTCGATAACGTCAAGGATAAAATGCATTCCATTTCAGAAGCTGACTGCTTCCACTGCCAATCTCCCTTTGTAGTGGCAAAGGTTTTCTTCCATTTTACTTACCTAACCAGGTAGAGCCACTGAGAAAGCCAACTAGGAATGGACCTTCTGGCTTACAAAGTGGAGTGTGAGGAGGAAAAAAATGCTTTTTCCTGTTCCCATACTAATGCATCCTGTTCTTCAGAAACAGACCCAGGTTGTATGTTTTTAGCGGACTGTGTAGAAATTGCAGAATTTCTGCTCATAAACCAACCTTTTTGATGCAACTAAATTGCTAACACGTAGATACCAATATCTGTAAGA